TGAAATGGCCTTACAGTGCTACGTCTCTTATCGAGTTACTATCAGAGTCTATTCCATGTAGGAAAAAAGACTTCAGGGTCAGGGAGGAGATTGTTTTCTGGGAGCAAGGCCTTTCTATGGTTCGTAAATTCCACACATATTCAAGACCAGTTGAATTAGAAGGAATATCAGTCGACAGTTTACCCAAAGATGAAGTTAAGGTGGACCATAATGAATCCAAACAAGAAAGACAGTCTGATGAGCAACAGTGTGAACCGGCAGAGAGCCTTGGAGCTTCTTCACAGATTAAGAATGCTGTAGAAATCAAGGCTACACCAATCCCAGTTATAAATGAGGAAGTATCCACTCCTGTTGAAGCCATTCTAGAGCCAGTTAAAGAATTAATTGAACATTCAAAAGTGAATGAGTTATCAAGTCCCCAAAATGCAAACACCAAATATCCAGACTATGGTCCTTACAGTCCTATTAGTCCTCCAGAAAATACTAATTTTGATCTTCCACCAGAAGTGAAAAATCTTACCACAGCTGACGCCATTCCTGTACCTGATAGTATGCCAGATAACGTGACAGGTCTTCGTGAGGATGCTCCTCCAGTTCTCACTGAAGTGACTATGCTCCCTGATGATACAGCGGCTACTTTGAGTGAAAGTGAGATTGCTGCTACTTCTAAAATTGTGCGTGAGAGTACGGAGATGCCAGTGCTGTCACCAAGACCTGATGAGACCTCACCGGAAATGCACACAGCTGTTGATGGTCTAGTCCCTGATCTTATGCCCCCAAGTGATGCAAGATGTCAGCTTTCATTTAACTGCAGCCTTTGCAATAAAGAAACCAAATACCCATACATTCTACGGCATGCAATGTGGCATCATCGGATTGACAGAAAGTGCATGTTCTGTCACAAACGCTACACTCGTGGGCGCAGCCCGTCAGTGCATTTTAAAGTGCACATTCAGGAGCTGAAAAAGTCTAATGGGCTTTTTAATGAAAATATTTGTGTGAAGGCCACTGAGACCACCTTGCGATGTGCCCAGACAAGAGTGTTTAAACGTGTGAATCCTGCCGTGCAGAATAGGTTGAGAAACATCAAAATGAGGTTAAACTGTACTTTGAACATCACAAATTTGCACAGGGAAGGGCAAAGTTCAGAGCCTAGGGAGAGATTGCGGACAAGGTTAGTTAAGAATTCAGATCCCCCAAGTACATTGGAAGAAAAAAAGAAGAAAGTTTGCAAGATGAAGAGAAAACGTATACGGAGTGTTTTAGCAAAGAGATCTCAGTCCATAGATGAGAACAAAAAGTTTTTCAGAATGGGACTAGCAAAGAAGAGAGCAAAGACTATGCAAACACTAACTCCAGATGACAACCATACAGATACCAAGGGCAACTTGGCTCATAAGGTAAATGGAGTGACCAGAAAGAGAAGAAAAGTGAAAAGTGAGCCTGAGGCAAATACCCCTGATGAAAAGGTTCAGACATTACCACAGGACAGCAAAGTGAAAATCGAGAGTGTAGAAAGTCAGAAAGACAATGTCAAGACTGAGCCTGAGAATATAGAAGTAACAAAAGACAAGAGCAAATCAAAAATGAAAAGAAAAGATAAAATGCTGGACTCTGGGCTGAAAAAGAAGAAGATTACTCCTGGAGATCAAAAAGAGGATGGAGAAGATGTAAAGAGGAGGAAGATGACAAATAGCCTGGAAGGCAGTTCTGAGAATCAGGAACCCAAAGACAATAATGCTGAATTTAAGGAAATAAATCCAAAGGGGCATAAAAATGGGACTCAGCCAAAGCCCAAACAGCCATCCACACCATTCCAGGGGAAAAGAACTGGAGCATCTACGCATGTCAGATGCCCTGTGGAGATATGTACATTTAGTGCAAAGTCAATCCTTGTCCTTTCACATGTGCTGTCTCACCACCATGGCGACAAAAAGGCGCTTTTGTTCTTTTTCAACTTTGGAAAGGAAAAATGTATTTTCTGTTGCAGAAAGTTATATAACCCTCAGCATTTTTTTGACCATGTGATATGCCACAGAGGTGAGCTGAAGTTCCCATGCTACCATTACGGCTGCAAGGAGAGGTACCAAACACGTATGGAGCTTAGCGAACACATGTCAGGCCATCATCCGTTGAGAGCATCGTGCTGCTTTCCTGGCTGCTCTATGCAAGTTGAGAGCAGTATGCTCCTCTATAGGCATGAAAAAACTCATTATCGACTCGATACAAATTTGGGAAAAAAATCATTCCCCAAAGAATCTGACCCAACAGGGGGGCATGGAGTCCCTCGAAGCCTGGAAGATAGTATGGAAGCACCACCAAATTCTTCAGTCAGTCAACAAATTCTGGGTACAGCCAGTTTGAAGGGCCCAGCAAATCAAGATGATGATGGAAAACCTTTGGTCCTCAATAAAGGTTCTGTAAACTACAGTAGCAAGAACCATAGTCTTGTTAATGGGCATAGCGAGTGTGACAAAGTTGTTCCTCCCAAACCTTCAGATCCAGTCGCTAAAGAGCAGGAACCACCAGTTTTAGGAAAACCTGTAACTAAACAATTCATTCGACCTCTTCCCTCAGCCTATCTGCATGAGTCTTACATTAGCATGCCAAAACGTAGGAAAGAACCCCAGGTGGGCTCAAAGTTATTAGGCTCTGTGTCAAAGCCTGAAAAACTGTCAGCGAGGCAGCGTTGCTCTCGATGTTTTCAGTCTTTCAACAGTGAGGAAGAGCTGCAGACACATAAAGACAAATGCACATCCCTCTTTGGTTTTGATTCGGATGATGAAAGTAAGTACCTTTTTTTATTGTGTCTTATTTTTATTGTATTTTTTTTTTTATTGTTAAATACTTTTGTTTTTGTTTTCAACAGGTGCCTCCTGAATTTGGAGAAGCAAGCCTCTCTACTGAGAAAATTGCTAAATGCTGCTGTAGGCAATCGGCGTTCTTACATGTGTGCTTAACATCTTTTTCAGTGTCTCAAAACAGAACTATATCAAGAACTACATGGGAAATTAATTTTCCCTCGGTGTAGTCTTGTATAACTGATCTGCTGCTTTATTTCGGAGCGAAGGTCTGTTATCTCTTCATATAAAAAAAAATCTGATATCGATTTTTTTCAAAGTCTTTTGAGACTTGGGACTGTTTTTTTTAAAGAAAATGAATAAGTTTGTCTTTCTATAAAATGCACAACAGCTGCATTTTCACTCTGTCATCACTTCATGCTACAGAGCTTAGCCTGTTCTCTCATTTTTTGCTTGTCTTTTCAATTCCTGGATATAAGAGGCCACCAAGGACCATGACACTACAAGAGGAGTTGGTCTGTCTTTATGGCCAAGGTAAATACCTTCTCTGCAAGTATGGTGGTTAATGAAAGGTTTAACTTGGCTGTTTTGTGACAATGGGTCCGGTGTTTTACCAGTGTTGCATAGCGCTTTATGAGCAGAAGTACTGGGTGGAAACTCGTAGGCCACTTCAAGTATTGCAAGCACATTCTAAATATGTTCTTTTATTATTTTTAAAAGACTTGATATGTGAACCTTTGTAAATTGTTACTAATTGCATATTTTGCAAATATCATTAACTTGCTTTTAAGTCAGTGGACACTTGGGAAGAGTTAAAGACATCATGTCTTTAAATGAAGAACTTTGACTTCGGTTGAGAAATCCTAAAGAACTGTCAGCCTATAACTGGTGCTGCTGGAAAGGCCTAGTCTTTTAAACTACAGATTCTCCTATTAATGGAGGAGTGTATATGTGCCACAAAGCCTCATTGAACATTGTCGTAACATATTCTAAATGACTTCTCTTTAAACTCAAGAAAATTGTAAGGGGAGGACTAATTTGTGTCTCAAACAGAGGCATGTTTAAAGCTGTTCCATTAATGAACAGTAACGGTCTTATTTATTCTTTTTTTTTTGTATCTTCTGTAAATGTTTGAAGAGTTTAAATGGTGTATGATTGGGTGACTGGGTTTATATATCAAGAGCTTTTTTGTCCTGATTAATAAACAAATTTGAAGGGGAGTTGAGGTTGTTGGTTTATTGTAAACAGTCAGGATTCGTTGTGTTGTATGTATATCGTTAGCACTGTACTCAACGTGATGCTTTAAATGTATTTACAGTTTGTTGTGTGGTGAAAATGAGCTACAGTTTGCTGCGTCTCCGTCCAAGGGAGGCGCTGTTCACTCTTAGGTTAAGTTAATCATAGTTGTTGCCAAGTCAAGGTTTTCTGTACTGAGTTTTTCGGGACACTTTGATCGACACGGACTACTTTAAGTGTCTTTGTGTAAAATAAACTGTAAGCTGTACGAGTGAAACCCACGCTGAAAGCTTAAAAGAATAGGTTTATACATATTTTCCTTTTAGTATACATTATATCATATAATACATAAACACTTGGCAACCCCGACCCTCGACGTAATCGCGGCTGCAGCCATAGCAGCCACATTCAGCTTGGTCAACAAAGCGGACACCTAGCGAGCTAACAGTTCTCCCAATACAATTTCAGCGAAAAACGGTATAAAATTGAGAGTAAACAATTTCCGAGGACCGGTTTAAAAAGGAACACATAGTTAGTATCTAATTAGATTTTCCTTCTAATGACATGATATGTAATTTCATAGTTTCATAGATCGTATGTAGCTACCCAGTATTGGCTAACTGTTTAGCCTTTCAGTGAGGCTGCATTGATTCGGGTTGCGAGCAAAATGAAACTAAACTGTATGGTCAGTATTGTAAACGACAGTCTGCTAATTAGACGATGCGTATTAGTTGGCAATTTTTAGATTATTTTGCTCTTATTCTCAACTAGAAAACATAAAATGTCTGTACTCAAATCTTTACGAATCACTCGGATAGGCAGATAAAAGCGTGCTTGCAGATAACGGGTTGATTGAAAACCCAAAGATAAGAAAATCAGCCAGGAACTTTAGTAATCAGCCAAAACGGCTGTCATGAAATAATAAATCCCAGTTCAAGCACTTGGGGTGAAATGTTCAATCTGATGGCGAACTGCTGTAATTGGTTGAAACGATGGAAAGAACCTGCAAGGTGAGTGTCTACTACTTTCATCTCATGCTTGTGTCATAGAGACTGGAGTATTTAGTAACTTGTTTCTGAGCAGAACTGTCAGTGAACTCTTATGTTGTACAGTTTCATATATGTTATCAATATTTGTACAGTGGTCCCAATAAGCCACTCTTAAAGGAGTCATATGACGCGATTTCAATTTTTCCTTTCTCTTTGGAGTGTTACAAGCGAAGATCTGTAAAGTTGCAAAGACTAAAGTCTCAAAACCAAAGAGATATTCTTTATAAAAGTTAAGGGTCAACCACTCCTACCTAAAACGGCTCATTCTAACACGCCCCCACATATCTACGTCACTATGTGGGAAGATTAGCATAACACCGCCCAAATGTTCACGCAAAGAAAGAAGGCATAACTTTTATTCTCGCTGTGGTATTGTTGCCGCCGCCGCCATGTCGTGAAGGCGCTGTGTGTTTCGTTGTGAAAGCGAAACTACTTTGTTTGGTCTACCAAAAGAGGACGATATCTGCTTCGTCATGCCTGGAGTTGATCCGTGCTGGTCGCTGAGGAAATACTTCAACTTTGCTCTGTCGATCGCCGGATCGGCTTTCACCGTGGACGAAGCGGAGTCCAGACCGGGGTCGTCACATGTGGTTGCCGCAGGCATCACAATATGGTAAGGGACGTAACATTTCCGTTCACACGTTTGAGGAATTCGGCCAATCACAATGCACTGGATAGCTGGCCAATCAGAGCACACCTCACTTTTTCAGACCGATGAGCTTTGTAAAAATCGACGCGTTTCAGAAAGGCGGGCATAGAGGAGAAACAATAATGTACAGTATGTGGAAAATAATGTCTTTTTTGAACCTTAAACCGCATAAACACATTGCATTACACCAAATACACCAAATAATGTTCTTTTTAGCAACATCACATGACCCCTTTAAAATTGCCATAGGTGATTAGTTTTGACCTTTACCTGTGCGACTGTCCTCTTTATGTTTTCATTGTGTTTTATTTATGGCAACAAAAATTCAACTCGGCTTAAGAATGTAATGATACACGAAGTACCTCTACTTAATGTATCACCTCTACCTCTAATATTTACTATTATTTTCTATTGCAATGTGAAGTGCAGTGTGTAACACTCAAAATGCATAATAGAAAATATTAATTGGCATGTATTTTAAAGGAATCGTTCTCGAAATTTGACGAGATTTTAGGCATATTGACAGCCTTAGTTACCTTTCACTTTTAATGAATGAATGAAAAAAAAGACGCAATGAAAGTCAGTGGAACAACATTGTTTGGACAATTTTGTAGGTGAAATATTGCTTTAAAAAGACAGCACAAGTAGTCAAGCAAAATATAATGCGAAGTGTAACAATACATATGCAGTTCAAAGTTCTGTTCACTTTCTGGTGAAAGTTAATGAAACTTGACAGGAAATGAATTAACACATCCCCTATAAATGTCATTTCTAAGAAAGGACAACTATAATTTATTTGCATATGCCACATGGTTTATCTGATGCTGTAATATTTTTGCAGAGATCCATGATTCATGCATTCATACTTGCTCTTGTAAACATAAAATATGACTGTTAACTTTCAGTAAAAACCTTATTGAAGATTGTAAGTTTGTGTGTGTATGTGCGTGACAATAATCAGGACAGACTTTGAACATATTTTGCTGCAGTGTTATTTTATACTTGTATTTGTATTGGTATTTACTAGTGTTAGCCTAGTATTTGTTAATATTTTGAATTAGCTTATATTTTTATATTTTCAGTATTCAAGTTAAAAACTAAAATTTTAATTTAGTTTTAGTCACGTTATACTTTTGGCATTTTCAATCGTTTTTATTTACATATATTTCTATTTAGCTTTAGTAATTTGAGTACTTCAAATTTTACTTATTTTATTTTAGCTAGTTGCCAAGGCAAAATTTTCAAATTTTTTAAGGTTTTCAAAGTTTAACATTTTACATCAATTTTTTTTTTACAATTTTAGTTAACAGTTATGCTGGTGACAAAGGTATTTGTGCCAATTGAATTATTTAGTACATTTTCCACACAGTAGGTTCGTCTTTTCTCATGAGGTTGCATTAGATCTGGTTTCATTTTCAGTTTTAGTATTCCCTCTTTCTGCATTCTCAGTGTTGATTAGCAGCCTTACCTGCACCTCTCACTGTACATGTTTGAACATGACTCACAATTAGACAAAGGCTTAAATCCAAGTGTTAAATATCTGATTACTCGCATCACCTGCTGTGCCTGAAACAAGATGTTTGATAAGCCTAAATCTGGGTCAGTTGGTTGATCATACCTAAGATCGGTCTGCGTAAAATGAAGAAGTCAGACCCAAAAGTGCCAGTGATGTTACAGAGACTCTTACTCTCTGCTGAGAGCTTCTGGGACCAGAGGTGACAGCAAAGTCTCTAAGTTATTGTCTTAATTTCATTGGCTGAATGTAGTGTGTCCTCTGGCACCCTGTCACTGATCTTGTTTGGTAAGTCGAAATCCCCAGCAAATCCCTCAGATACAAAGCTGACCAGAGGCCAGGAAAGACAAAAGTGTGTGTGTAGCGACAATAACAACCGAAGTCAAGGGAAAGCTAGCTGTCATCTTGATCTATTCCCAGTCTTGATGAAGGCCTCCTGGTTGCAGAGAACTGTCACCTGGATAGTGCGCTTGATGTCCCTGCGGCGCAAGTGCCGCAGTTAAGTAACTGTTTGTGTGTGTGTGTGTGTGTGAGTGCATCTGTTTGGTAGCTGTATGGACTTTAGCTTTGTGTTTTCTTATGTGCATTTGGTGGTGGCTGCAGGGTTTGTTTACGCCGCCTGGCATTTATGTTCGTCTGGCATTTCTTTAGAATTAAGCATAGGTTGTTGATGGTAAGCAGAAATCCCATGTCAATTCAGGATATTTGTGTTACTCTACAGATGTCTTATTATGCCTCTTAAGCCTCCACTGGAAGCCTTGTAGTTTAAACAGCTGTGACTCCACAGCCCCGAACAGATCATCATTGAACTTACTGAATATTTTTGACGTCATTAGTGTAGGAAAAGGCCACATTATTTACTTTGTCTTTTTGTGCATGGTATTCTGAATCATTTTCTTTATCCCTGTGTGCTTTTGCCAGTCATGAGATGATGCATTACCACACGGCTTAGGTTGTCTTAGCTGACAGCTGTTCATAACTTAATGTCAAGTTTTATTAAATGTCAAAAAGTTTGAAGCTGCCTGCATGAGCTCATTAATGAGCGCACTTGAGTACACATTTTCCGTGATTTGCATTTTTTTAAATTTCTGTATTAAAAATCTTTTTGATATTTTTGGGGACATAAAGTAAAAAATAAAAAAAAATCAGGGTAATACATTTGTTCTTATATCAAAATGAAATGATAAAAAAAGTTGATTTAAAATAATGAAATTAATGAAAATAAATTAATATTATGTGATTTGGCCTAAACTTTTATTAATATTTCTTAGGAAATAAATATAGTTCAGATAAAATATAATGTGGTGCAACTCCACAGAAACATTGAAATGTTGAAAAAGCTAGTGATTAAAATGTAATGAATATAAAATATTTGTAACCTTTTTAAAAAAAAAAACAATAAAGGTATAATGAACATTTTATTACTTTTTACTTGGTGGTTACAACACGAGTTATTACTTTAAACCTTTACATTTAAATAAACTTTTCTTGAAAATTTAATGAAGGTTTTTTAAACACCAATGTTGATACATTTATCTTATTCCACCACCCTGTGCACACCTTGACAGTTTTGTGTGGTCCAGCTCTTCTAGCAGGAAATAATAGTAACTGACAGAATTATTTAAATGATACACCTGTAAAAAGACCTCAGCACAAGGGGGCCCATTCTCAATTTTCCCTGGTGCCTGAGATAATAAAGCTATTGATGTGAAGCTATTGAGCCTTCAATTGGCTCCTTGTTCTTGTTGGTATTTGGTAATTATACCAACACCACAGTGTTGGATTCTTCACTTGTCTCATAATTTTTAAGTCAGTTACATAAAAATGCAGATTGGTTTAATTTGAATATGAAAATTAAGACTCATTACCCCTTGGCTAACTGCTAGGTTGTAAGCCATCCTAGGCGTATATGACTTCCTTCTTTCAGATGAATCCAATCGGAGTTATATTTAAAATTGCCTTTGATCTTCCAAGCTGTTTAAAGGCAGTCAGCGGGTGTTGCAGTTCATCAGTCCAAAAGAAGTTAAATAAAGTGCATCCATCCATAATAAAAAGTGCCTCACACGGCTCCGGGGGGTGAACAAAGGCCTCCTGTAGCGAATTGATGTGTTTTTTAAAGAAAAATATCCATATTCAAAACATAATAATCACTTTAATCTAGCTTGCACCAACAGTTGTACACGGAAGCAGCTCCAGGAGAATGATGTAAGATGTCGGCGTTGCGCATGTGCCGGTGAGTCTTGTGAAAACCAACGTTTGTTTACAGGAGTTTTGTACAGGAAGCAAAGTTCCCTTACTTTAGCAAAGGAAAACCAGTCTCCTCTTGGCTTATATCGAAATCCTCCGACACTCTTCTTTACAAATCCTCGTTTTGAAATTAGTGACCGTTGTTTTGTTTTGATCTCTCCCCTGCACTTCCGCGTTCGTCACTTATGAGCGGCTCATGCGCAATGCGTCCTACGTCATCCACCCAGAGCTGCTTCCGTTTACATTCCGATTAAATTGATTATTACGTTTTAAATATGGTTAATTTTCTTACAAAAACGCATCGATTCGCTACAGGAGGCCTTTGTTCACCCCTCGGAGCCGTGTGAGGGACTTTTTTATATTATGGATGGATGCGCTTTATTTCACTTCTTTTAGACTGATGCACTGCAACACCCACTGACTGCCATTAAACAGCTGAGCAAAGACAATTTTTAATATAACTCCGACTGGATTTGTCTGAAAGAAGAAAGTCATATTACACCTAGAATGCCTTGAGGGTGAGTAATTCATGGACTAATTTTCATTTTTGGGTGAACTAAAATTACTATTGTAAAATGTAAACTACTATTGTTTAAGGCACAATTTTAACATCGAGACTAAGTTTATGCAACTGGCCTTAGACCTACCAAAACTGTATCAGCACAGCAGCAAAAACCATGATGAAGTTGGAACTGCTTAAAACCGCAGAGCTATGTTTGTAAAAGGGAGAATAGAAGAAAGCTCAGAACAGAATCCTTGGGAACACCCATTTTTAAATGGTTGCTGATAATGTTTACAGCCCTCCCTCGCCAACATTGCCTGCCTGTCAGAAATACGAAGGGGTTTAGAGCGAAGACCTTGAGTTTGCTGATGAGCCTGGAGACTTTGATGAATGTCAAGCTGTAATCAGTGAAGAGCATCCTTACATAATTCCTGCTTGTAGTCCAAGTAGAACAGGGCGGTGTGCAATAAATGTGCAATACATCATCTGTATATCTGTTGGGGTGTTAGACAAGCTGCAGTGGGTCCAATTAACTGAGGGAGTGAACAGCAGATGAAGTCCTTGACTAAATATATCGTGTTAAGTGTGCTAATAAGTCAAGAGTGCTCTTTAACACAAGGCTAATTATTCAGTCCACCTCAAGTGCAGACCTCAGGTCATTTGTTTGTGACAGCTTACCTAGTGACCTGCACACCTAGTGACCAGCTCTTTCCTTCTTCTAATTGGCTTGCAGACTGGCTAATAAACAGGACCAAGATGGGGCATTGGCTGAAGCAGATATCATTGAGAACCTGTCATTGGAGAAGCTTGTCAACGAGAATAAATGCCTCTGTCAGATTGTGAGTTAATATTTCAACACAGTTTATATTTATCAGAGTCTAGTTTGAGTTTTTAATCAAAGAGGAAACCCCAAGTCTGATTTTTTCTTTCTTTCTTTATTGTTTACTTTTAACAGGTTCAAATTTAATCAAACTCATCACATTCTTTTGGCAGAGATGTTGCAAACCATTCATATAAAACTGAGCTAAACATTGTTTCCTCTACTCTCAGGAACCCTGTTCTGCAGTGCTGGGTTATGGTAAGAAGGTTGACAAATCCATCAAGAATGGCCTTAACTGGCTCCTGAATAACATTGCCAAGGACTACGAGGCAATTTCAGAACGTGTGCAAAAAGATACAGCTGAGCAGAAGGCTCAGGAAGAACAAGACAAGAAGGAAAGAGCAGAGAGAGTCCGGCGGATCAGAGAGGAGAGGTCAGTGAGCTGACAAGACTTTTCACTCAGATTATCATGCTGATCCCTCTTTTCCAGATATGTCAGGAGCAGTGTTGGGCAGTAACGCATTACTTAGTAACGCATTACTGTAATTTGATTACTTTTTTAGTAACGGAGTAATTTAACGCGTTATAATTTTCAAAATAGTAATTAGAGTATAGTTACAAGCCGAGGTCTCTATGCGTAACTGCCGCGTTACATTGCTGACAGAATGCAGTGTTTTATAATCTAGAGATTCTATATCTAGCGTTTCTTTTTCTTTCTTTTTTTTTTGGTCATAATTTTTAATCTAAACTCAATCCTCTGGTGTAAATGGTAGATTTCTCTCTGGTGACATATGTCAGACTTCTCTGATCTTTTAGTCTGCTTAAACCTTGCCCCCTCGATCAACTGACTAAAAGCTCACAATCATTTGAATATAAGAGGGCTCAGAACAGAACCCTGGGGAACATCCATTTTTAAATGGCTGCTGATGATGTTTGCAGCCCTACCACCCCACATTTTTTGTTAGTTTTTTTCGATTATCTGTTTCTGTCAGATGTATGTCACAATACTGAAGAAACGACCTGTCTCTACTTCCGTTTCTTCATTACTTTACAGTGTTCAAAATGCAAACAACAGTTTGATGACGATGTTTTTTACTGACAGAGACAGACAGGAGCGAGAAGAGGCAGAGCAAGAAGGAAGGGCATTGAAAGAGGAGGAGCTAGATGATGTCAACATGCTCAACCCATTCCAGCCAATAAACAATGTTTTTAATGAGGTTAGTTATCACAATGTTTCTTTTAAATGCACGTTGGATGAAATCATTAAGATATAAATACTAAATTCATATAAAAATCCCAGAATGAAGACAGATTAAACAAAGAGAAAGAGATGCAAAGACAGAGAGAAAATGGCGAGCTGGGCAGTGTGCAAGAACCGACAGTCCTTCAAGATGAGGAGGATGATGAAGATGAGGAGGATGAAGAGAGCGAGAGACAGACCACGGAGAGCACAGAATCAGGTAGAACCTCTTATTCCTCAAAAGGGCTCCATCACACCAAGAGTAATAAGTGGGTAAAGGTTTATTATATTATTGTCAGTTCATTTTCAAATACAAGCTTTTGCTATTATAATGCATGAAGAACCTATTTACCTCTGCAATTTCTTGGAGTGGATGAAGTGATTTCAATGTCTCTGTCACCTTTGATCAGGAGCAGTGGACCAGACCAAAAAGAAAACTAGGAAATTACGATTGAAACGTAAGCACAGAGTCGACCCTCTCAGAGTGGAAGAAGCAGCACCCAAAAGCCCCACTCCTCCTCCCTTACCAGGTAGGAATGTGTCTTTTACAACTTGTTTCTCAGACAACGGTCTTTAGTCTTTACACTGAGGACCTTTGTCAGTGATGTCCATTTGCAATAGGTATAAGCATTCCTTTTAAAGACACACACACACACACACATTTGAAAAATAGTTGAGGCCAGGGGCTGAGCTACAGCAGAAAAAAACTGTACAACACAAGCACAGGAGCACTTTATATTAAACGCTTCAAAGAACGCCATAAGAATACAGTTTAATGTGGCCTCATTGCCATGCCAGCTGCTTTAACAGATTGCTTGTGCTCATTGTAGTTTAAAGGTTTTCATCAAGACATACCGTACATAGTACTGTTATGTAACATGATAATGTAATATTACAGTTTTTATAATGCAAATATTTCCATTTTGTAAAACAACTAATTCTTGTACCATGCATGTAGCTGTAGTCATTAAACTTTAAATACTTCTGATATTTCATAGGCTGCACATGAATGCCAAGAGGTGTGCAACACATGCATGCCAAAGGGAGTGCAATCAAATGTTGTTGTACATGAAGTTTAGGTTTTAAATTACCCATAATAATTGAAACCCAATAAAAATAAAGAGCACCCCATTTATTTTCCCATTAAGACAAAATGCTATAATGAAAGTGTGCAAAAAAATCTATTTTCCAAACAATGTCATTACCGAAATACACTATGATATAATAATGATTGATATATTAGAGCTGTCGGGACGGATTTTGCAGGAAATTGCATGCATACATAATTTCCCCCGTGTGAGTCACGTCAAATCTGTACACAGAAAAATGTAGCTCCAGTTGTAAAAAGGTAGCTCTAGTTGTGGTTAGTGTACTTGTATATCTGTATAATATACAATTAGTATTAGATGTCCTGTATTCATATGTACACTGGTGCTTCGAGACACATTCATCTGTGCAGAGGAGCAAAGCCAAAGCTCAACCAAAAAATAAAAGGCATTCTTCAGGAGGAACATGCTGTTTTATTATTTAACCCGTAAAAGTTACATTGTGTAGCTTTAATATAACGACAGGAAAAAGCATAGTAAAACACTGTTATGTTCAGAAGAGGGAATGTGTGTGTTCATGTGGAACATTCTACATCTATTTGCATTTTGCAACTTTTTTTTTGATAGCATATATTATTAATACTTAATTTAACCTAATTAAGCAGATTATTAATTATGCATTATAGTAAATTGCAGGCCTGCTGTAAACACATTGCAGTGGTGTATATGTTCTGCAGCACAAGACTTCAGGGACTTTCTATCATTTGCTGTTGGATTTTCATAGTCAAATGTTTGCAAGATTTGTCTCGTTTTAACCACCGATTTGGCCTAGTTTTTCCTTTTGTTGCTTCATGTTAATGACTCTCAATAACTCTTTAATAACTTTTCTTTGTTTTAGTTGGATGGGCTACTCCTAAAGTTTCTAGGCTCCCCAAACTTGAGCCTCTTGGAGATACAAGACATTCTGGTAATTGTTGGTTCATTGCCATCTGTCTCCTGTCCAGCATGTCAACCAGCAAGCGCATCACTAACTTTCTTTTCCCCCCTATTCTGTTTCCTAACCATGTAATTGTCTCCCATCATTTTGTTTTTAAAGCTTTTTTTCTCTTCATCCATACAGCAAGCCTCAGCCACATCCTTCCTGTACAATCATCTGTCAAAAGAAATACCACAACCATCCACCTTGATACTGTGCCTAATAAATGCTACTAGCATGATCTCCTTAGCACCTCACTTCCTTAGCTGTGGCTAATGTGTGTAATTTGTTTTCCTGATGCTTACAGGAAATATTTTGGGCATTCTGAATGCTGCATGTAATGTTCTATGTCCTCTTCTGAATGTTAAACCAGGCAGTGTGTCATTTTGATCTATGGATTTAATTATGTAGTGTAACCTTTTAGTAAGTAGACGTTAGTTGATCCTTTTTTTTTTAAAAAGGGCATTGCTGACCTAAATCTTTTTTTTTTCCATTACTCTCTTTCATTGGCAGATTTCTATGGCAAACCTCTCCCACCTGTAGCAATTAGGCAGAGGCCGAACAGCGATACTCATGATGTAATTTCCTAACACTACCTCTGCTTCCCCCCTGACTGGTTTACAATTCTCAAGGGTCCCAACCAATCAAAGTATTGTTTTGTTCTTATCTTCAAGCACGGGCAGTGTAGCAAACTATGCAGATTGCCCATAAGTGAGGAACTGATACCCAATCGACAAACCCAGATGGATCACATGACCTCAAGCACCGTCTGAGATGGGGGACAAGGACATTCACTGTTCAGATAATGTGCTTAAATTTAAAACGGTTCAGTGTTTTACTTTCTTTAGAGCTGTTTGTCTTATTTTGATCAAAATACTTAAAATCAGTATTACTAGACATTTGAAACTCAATTGAGACTTCTTTTGTGGAAAATATATCACAGACCTATTTTTAAGAGAATTGAAATGTATTTAAATACATCAAAGTTTAAATTTGTGTACTTGAAATTGTACAAAAATGTTTTTATGGGATGGTCCACATGCATATCTTAAGCTCTTGTGCATATATAATGTGCAGTTAATTGTGACACACTTTGCCTTTAATGTATCAGATGGTCTTTTTTTCTAAGCAGCATTTATAGGTTTATACACTACGCTGTCTTAATTTTGAGAATGACATTCATACTCTCAAATAGCACCAGCAACATATACAGAGATCGTGAGAAGGTGAACTTTTGAATGTGATGTGAAATGTTTGTGCAAGCTCATTATTGAGTTTGAAACAGCATTTTATTTTCACATACAGTACATCTTGCTTTAATGGAGCAAAAGATTCTGAAAGATGATGAGTATAATTTCGTGATTTACAGATAAGAGATTCCACTGTAGGTGTAACAATGGTCAACCTCCAATATATATACATATTTTAATGTATGATGTCATATATTGTAAATGCTGCTTGCATATTTATTTGATGCTATTGCCATTTTTTTATATATTTCACATTGCTTGTTTTGTTTTTTATTTTCCCCCCCACACTAATATTTAGTTGACGTTTCATCAAGTTTGCTCTGCTTTCAGTACCTGCTTCTTTTGTACCCAGTTCACATTTAATATGAATGTCAAATTAAATATATTATACTAATTTATATTTCTACTCAGTTATTTATTTATTTTTTATTATTTTTTTTATTGCAGAGAACGGGAACATACAGAAGAATAAGCATACATCACATAATATCAGCCACAAAAATAAAAATAGAAACAAAGCACAAAAAAATAATAAAATAAAGATAAGATGGCCATCATCTAAACATGATCACATGAAGAGATCAAAGGCAGAGCAAATCCAAACAGTCCTTATAGCTTTCTTATTAGTAGATACTGAAATTACATTCAAATAATTTTCCATTTCTTTTAGGAAGACAGAGAAGACCGGTTTACAGTTGGAAAATGTGCATTTGTGAATGTGAAATTTGCTTAGAAAAAATATTAAATTAGTAACAAAACAGATATTTTCGTTTGTGGGGTCTGAGTTATAATACCCAAATATAATGTTTCTCATATGTACTGAGAAGCCTGGCAAAATCTTACACTTGACTATCACACCAATATCATCCCAAAACTCCTGAGTGTAGTGACATGACCAAAATAAGTGTACCACCGCTTCTTCAGAATTCGAACAAAAAGAGCATGTTAGCTCGATGTCAGATTTCAATCTTTGTATAAACTTCTTTACAGGGTAGACCCTGTGTATGAACTTAAAATACATTTCTTTCACTTTGTTTGTGAGAAAGAATTTTTGCTGTAGAGACCAGATTTTTTTTCCCAATTAAGGTTAACAAACAAAGTATTCCAAAAGGAAATCACAGGTGGAACAGAAATCAGATTCTAAAGAAAAAAATATCGTATTTTATCATTTTTGGCTTTCGACTCAGAGAAACTATTTCAACTCAGTCATGTTCACTCTCACTCAACACATCTCAGTGTCACATTTTGGAAGAAAAAAAAAAGCATCACCCTCTGCTGGTAGATGCCCTAACTACACCATCATGGTATCATGGGTTGTTTTCAACTAGGCAGCTGAACTGTGTGTTCATTGTATGATGGCAAAAGGAAAAAGGTTGAATATATATATGGTATAAAAATTCAGGACAAGTATGTTTGTTACACTTAGTATGATTTGGAGAAGAGTTTGGAAATCTAAGATGGTCAGATATGAGATTTTAGATAATTGATCAGTCAATTATTGCTATGTCAACCATTTTGTAACAGACAAAATCAAGACGATTACTGCAGCTTGCACCTTTCCAGCAAATCTAAATTGCAAAAGCAATTCTTCCAACATTATTACACAATTGCCAACAATGTTAGCAGTATTAGTATCACCTGTAATACTGAGTTGTATATAATGATATGTTGGTGAAAAATGCCTGAGTTGCATAATGACCACCAATCCAAATTGTGTTGATTCGAGGAGCTTGTTTTTGCACAAAGGTCTTAAGAAAATTGTTAATGATTGGTTTGTGGACAAATGTAAGGTGTCCTTTGCTGTTAACACATTGTTTTCAAATTGTTATTTCTGTCATGACAACTCTCGGAGGGATTGGCATGGTAATGTACATGACAGTGTTAATGTATTTGGTCTTGGCGGAATAGATCTGCTACGCTGCTGCTGCTGCTGCTGCGGCAGAGCAAGTACCGAGACTTGCTACTGTCAATACATCCACAACATGCTGCTGTGAGCATGTAAGAAATATTGATGCTGCAAATATAACATACATGAAATAACCCCCATATAGCATACATGAATCACCTCGTAGCAGATCTATACAGGTGGAGCTGGGGAAGGTGGAGGGTTTCTGAAGCAAGCTGCA